AATTTGCACCTGCCCAGGCGACTGTGTCTCAGTAGGTAGATTCGGTTGTTTCTCAACCGGAAGATGGTCGGGGTTCGATCCCCAGCTCCTGCAGCCACATGACCCATGTTCTCAAGACACTCTTTTAAAAAAAATATCTTTTTGTGAAAATTGAAACTTTTTATGCCTCCACATGAGAGATAGGACAGCGGAAAGAGTCGGAAACCTGGGAAAGAGGGAGTGAGAAATGACACGGGAAAACAGCCACCGGTCGGGCTCGGACCTGGGTCGACCGCCTTGAGGACCACAGCCTCCGCACACGGGGTGTGCGCACACCAACTATTCAGCTTAAGTCCATTCACCTTTTACCACCCAAACTCCAAAGCTTCTTATCGGCTTTTGGTGTCTTGTGTGTTTCAGGTGTTGATGAGGTAAACCTGATTGAAGAGGAATCTATCGTCGGAAACACACCTCAACAATCAGGTAAATAAGACACAGGGGGCTAATGTGCATTTGCTTTGATATTTCCAGAGGGGGACTTTGAAATGAACCAGCCAAGTGATGATAAATGATAGCATTATGGTGCATTAACGTTATCATCCAAGGGGAAAGGACAATCACACTTTGCACTGGCACAGAGGGAGAGGCAGACTCTGACCAGGCATGAAGCCAAAATCCTCCAGGAGACAAAACAACGGAGATAGATGGAGGTTGAAAACAACAGATAATGCAAAATATTTCAACTACCATAAATCTTTCTTCTCAAGCACTAGGCCTATTACTTAAAGGGACCGTATTTGTGATAAAAGTTGCGGCATTACACCAGTATTTCTCTCCCGCTCTCAGCTGAGTCTTTACTGCTGCAGGTTTCGTAGAGAAATTGCAGATAATCATGTGCAATTTTCTTATCTTTACCTGATTCCATTTAAGCACTCCAATTCCCAAACTAACTCGGGTGGTGAGGTTCGCTACGGAGAAGGAAAATCTCTCCAGTTATTAAACGACAAGTGTTGCGATGGAGGGGCCGGGTTGTTATTGCCTTGTGAATGTCATTACACTTCGATCCTCTTTAAGTGTTTTTTCCACACTCATGCTTGGCACTTAAATTGATGGCGTTCCAATGAACAGCTGTGTCTCGTCACACATTTTTCACAATTTCACGTGGGACAGTGCAGGCGATGGAAATCTGATTTCCATTTCAGTGGAATAACTTGAGGAATGAGAAAAGGGTTACTGGGATTTTCAATGACTACAGTTTATAAATGGCACACGGGAGACTGCAGATCTGTTCTCCTTTTTTCTCTCATGCTCTCGCTTCTCACAAGACTATCACAGAGTCCTTACCCTGTAATGCTCAATTAACAATGGAATAACAGCCTAGTGAGTGATTAAGTGGGTGATTAGTCATTATCAAACTACACAGATGATGTCATCAAATTAACATTAGGATGTGACAGTGGGACTACTGTGAGGGCAGATCTGACAAAGGGATCAAAGAGATTCATTATAATCACGGGTAAAAAAAAGAAAAAAAGAAAGGGAGCACGCCTGGCACGACTTGAAACGTTGATAGATGAAGAGGGAACTGATTAAGAAAAGTATGTAGAGCACTTCTGGTCTGAAATTTTTTTTTTTAAAAAGGACCTTTACTTTAAGGGTGGTTTCACATTAGGGACCCGGGCCCCGGATCCGAGTACACTTGACCCTAAAGTCTGCTTCATATGATCAGTGTGAACACAAACATACCGTACTCATATACCGTGGAAGTAGGAAGAAGGTCGTTGTTGGCGTCTCAGAAATAACAAAAAAATCCACAGTTAGCAGGGTGGACTCAGTCCGTGAGTGGTTGCCATGGTTGCTGAATATGCAAAGCAACTATGTGCATACTGCCACCTGCTGTATCGGACTGTGTACATACTCATGTGTGCGCAGCTAGCTGTACAGCGCTGACTACCTCTAGGCAGAAAGACTCATGGAAGCTGATGTAGTTTTTTAAAAACCTGACAGAAGAAGGGCTCAATAGAAAGGTTGGAGGCCGACGGCGGAGATCCTTGGATTTATATGCACCCAGTTGTGAGTTTGACACCAGGTCTACCCATGTGTGATTTGTTTTTCATCTGTATCTGGGCTACACTGATCCATTTAACTATCATTTTAACTGCTATAAATACGAGATATATCTTGAAAACTGCTGTGTGTGAATGTGTGATGACTCTTGTAACAGAAGCAGAGTGTTCTGTAGCCTGAACATAAAACATTTTTTAAGGATTATTTTGGGGCATTTTTATGCCTTTAATCAGAGATGGGATACTCCACCGTTAGAAGACAATAACACACACTTTCCTTACATGTTGGAATTAAAATACAGTCATTTACAGGAAGTGTATCTGTACTTTGTTGTTTCCAGTAATTAGACAAGTAAGGGGGGGGGGGCTAAATCCTGGAAACATTACAACGTATCATTACTGTAAGAGAGGGGCTTCTATAAAGTACCAGCTTTGGTGGATATGATGATACACTTTTTGTTTGTGATCAGGAGACTAATGGCTGGTGCTCTAGTTAATGGTTTGTTTGATTGGTTGTTTACAGCTTCAGTATTTTAGCTCGCTCTCTTTGCCATTGATTATCCGACAGCACAACAACAACACACAGAGTGAGCATCTTGAATTATGTGCTGGAAATAAGCAGACACAAAGTCAGGTATGGGCGGTATGATGGTGCAGTGGTTAGCACCGTCTTGTTGGTGGTGACCTTTCCGTGTGGAGTTTGAATGGTGCACGTGTGGTTTCTCTCCAGGAACTCCAGCCTCCTCGGCTACTGCAATTCACTATATTTTGGTTTTAACTAGGCGTCTGTGCACCGTCTAAAACTCGTTTAAAATGCCACAGCCGGACCTATTATATACAGATGAAAAAAATGGGATCACATTACACCTCTCTTAGTTTCCTTGCACTGGCCCCCAGTCCAGAATCCCATGCTAAATTCCTTTGTTTGCATTTAAAGCCCTTAATGGCCAATTTACATCCTATATCTCTTATAACCATACAGTACAGCTAGACCTCTCAGATCATCAGATCAAGGATTTCTAACCACCCAACTCTCAGAAAAATAGAAGAAAATAGAAGAAATTTTTTTTCAGTCTTCTCTGTAGCCGCAAGACTGTGGAACAACCTGCTGCTACTTATAAATGCCTGTCCTAACCGCACACGAGCGACAGCGACAAAATCAGCCCAATTCTATTGTTTCATATTTCTGTTTTTACCCCGCTGTTTTCTCTTTTCCTCCCTGTTGCTTGCTTAGATGGACGAAGAATGGAAAGGAGGGGGCTTTACACTGACACTAACACTCACTTTTCTCACTCAACAGAGCTTGTTAGCTTGTTGCACAAAGGGGAGACAGTGGTGCATAAATAATATCCACATCCTTGATTGAAAATGTTTTGTTTTGACTTGTGTCTACAACATTGGAGAAAAACTTTTTTTCCAAGGCACCACACTTCTGTTTGTCCACCTTCAACACAAAAGCACCAGATGTCAAAATGTTTGCAACGTGGGAAATTCACAGACCATGAAGCACAAAGAATGAAATATATAACGGATGCAGTGTGGACAGCCAGTGTGCGGTCATGCGATCAGCAGATTCTCTGGCCAGCTCACTAAAGACTCACTTGTAGTCCCTTGCATTCTCCTGCGGTTGTTTCCTTATCTGATTAGCATCTTACTGTTCATGAAAGTCCTTATGTGTGTCTATATATTATATTCTTTCATCTCCTTTGCTGCAGGCTTCCTGTTTGAGATACGAGGTTCAGCTCTCAGCTGTGTGCTTTGACTGTGCCTGTACCTCCACTTAATGCTCCTGCCATGTTACATCTTTTACAGTAATTGGTGTTTTTATATGTTCTTCATTTCTTTAAAGCACATTTTAAAGCGCTATATAAATAAAGTTGACCCTGACCTTGACCTCCCTCCCACAGTATAAAGACCTGCTCGATTGTTGCCTCTTAATTGCCCCGTAAATGTTGCTGCGAGTGTGAATGGTTGTCTCTCTACCTGTGTCTCAATTCTGGAGTAGCATCCTTTGAAGAACTCACCCTCGGGGGGCCTGTGTAAACCGTCTCCCCATTCCTGTTGCATAGCAGTATGGCCAGCTATACTTTTAGGTAATCGTCAGCTGCTTAAGAGTCTTCCATCTCATTTAAATTGGAGCCTAATGAAACTGGTGAGGATGCATCTAGTGCAGGGATGGGCAACTTTGGTCACAGCAAGGGCCACATGCATTTAATTCTGACTGCCAGAGGGCCAAATTAAACAATTACAGTCAATTATGTCTCAAATTAACTCAACATATACCAGTGATGAAATATTATTATGGACATATTTCTGGTTTTCATGATTTAATGGCAGATTTCATCATGTTTTCTTCATGTTTCCAATTAATTGATGTGTAAAAAATTAACCTGAGGGCCACATTGAAGGTTGACGAGGTTGACATCTTCATGGCCCTAAAAAAGAACGATGCTTTTTCGGCTGCATTGACATATCTCCCGCAAAGTTCAGCGAGGTGACCTGGCACTACTACCATCCGATGTCCCTGAAGCCCAGCCTTCACCAACAGACTGTGTCATCCCCACAACCACCGGCGTCCTCATTAATGGGCAACAGGAACGCGAGGAATACAAAGGAGAAATCCTTCCTGCATATTATCCCATATGATCTTTTGTAAAGCGTCTCGAGATAACACTTGTTATGAATTGGCGCTATAAAAATAATGATTGATTGACTGATTTGAAGGAGCTTTCAGAATGGGATGGCCATCGACACGCCGCTGTTGTGCAATTGGTCTTGTAATGCGCCCTTCAAAGGATGAAGCCCTTCTGATAACAGCTGGGATCTGCTGCAGCCCCCACGGCAAGACGTATGGATAATGGATGGATGGAAGATCCGGTTATTGCACCTCTGTTCCAGTGTTTATTTGGGACAATGGTGTGGGTAATTGTAGAGTGAATGTGTGCCTAAACGTACCTTTTTTCGTCTCTGTACCATTCAAACTCCGGTGTGGGCACAGCGGTGGCGTCGCACTGCAGCGTCCCCAGGCGGCCCACCTGAGTCTCTGAGCTCTGGGTTTTCTTTATTGTTGGAGGGTCTGCAGAGACACATCGAGAAAACACACACACAACCAAATTTTATCGAAATCATTCCAGCTGGCACTCGTGTTTCTTTCCGTTTTCCTTTGAAACTCCCCTTTCCTCCCTAAGAAGTGAATTCATCTTATTTTGTCAGGCATTTCTGAAGAGTCTTTCATATATGCCTGTGACGAGAGGAAAGCCCTTTCATATGGACGAAAAATGACTGGTAAGGAATTTCACTGATACAAGCACACCACCAAAAAAATGCAACATGATTTTATTAAAGTTTAATTTGTAGTCGAAGGACTTCGAGTCCAAGAGCAAATATAAAAATAGATCTCTTTGAGCTTGACTTAAAGAAATAATCAATAAAAAAAAAGCTTCAACTTAATCTTTTTAAACATTAATCATGCACACAAGAGTGATATCTTCACACTGCACATGCCAGAAAAGTGTCCAATGTGGATTAATGCCTGTTTTCCATTTGGGATTAAACACTAAGAAGTGGTTTAATATAGAAATCTTTATCATTTAATTCAGGCACTCAGACTTGGCTGAAGTTCGGCTCGGGCAAACAGCCATGTGCGATTTGTTCAGATCAAAGAAAACTCTATAACTCCTGAGGGGGAAGGAGTTGGTTTGTGATGTCTCATGAGCTGCTCATCAATCAGAGCAGCCAACATATGTATTACACTCATCAGGTCTACAGCGGACCCCCGACAAGATGCAATTAGGCGATCTTGTTTTGAAGTAGCTCTCAAATGCTGAGATACTGGAGAACTACAACCGAAGAGATGGTTGCAATCAGAGTAAGAGATCTTACTCCTGGATCATCTTGACTGAAGTGCGCTCAGAAACTTTTAAGATGTCGCCCTCCACACGTCTCTACTGCTGCTGCCATCTTGACTTCATCTTAACAGTGTATCACCTTGTGAACGTCTGGCCTGAAAACCCCGCTGAGACTATTTGATGGATGTTGTGTAAAGTTTGTTGTATACTTACAGTTGACAACCACGTTGACATATTTGACGTCGGGCGTGGCGACGTCGTTGCTGGCCTTGCATTCATATCGACCCGCTTGGTTTCGCATGATGCCTATAATGTCCAGGTATTCTTCTCCGTCCAACGGCTCAGCTGTAGGTGATTGAAAGAGAGAGAGAGACAAGAGAAGGGGGCTGAGTTAAATAAAGAACTCAGTTTTAATTTGAACTCTTCAGCCCTGTTCAGACTGCAATTCAAGGCGCCATATTTACGCCATTTAACCCTTAATATGAATATCGAAGAGGTGTAATGGGGGAAAGAAGTCTTCCCCCTCTGTGCTGCCTTAAATGTGTGATTCCGTCGTACTACATGTAGCATTGATATAAAGGCAAATATTGTCATTAAAGCATCGCGTAGTAGACTCTGTTACTTCGTCCGCTACTTCCGCGTGGTATTTTTATGTCATGTCTTACCTCAGGAGACCCCCCCGCCCCCCCTCCTGTCTGACAGGGATAGTCTCCCACTGTGAGGTGTATGTGTGAACAGCCAGGTCAGGAGACTATGCGGAGCAGTCCTCCTGAAATGATCGAGATATTTTCAGGAGTGAATAAGTGAAAACTGCTGTTTTTATCTCTTATCTTGATTCATACCTCTGCTGCTGCTAACATTTCCCAGTTTTATATTTCCATGGTGACTTACTAAACTCAGCCTCCCCTGAGACTACTGCTATTATTTTGCCACCCACGCTGGATTGGCATGGCCATTAGTGCAGAGGACAATAAGACACTCTATTACAGAGAAAGCTAAATGGCCCGTCTGATTAGGATTCACAAAGAACTGTCAGGGCCCGGCTTTATTCAAGATACTGTACGTTAAGGTACAAAATGGAAAGTGATTTCTTTTCAACATGGCCGAAAAACAAAACCTGATGCTGCTGAAGCAAACACCAAGCTCTCGGCTTGGATCATTCTAATTCCTTCAAGTCCTTTGAGATTTGCTCAGAATTTAAGGCTAAATAAAAAAAGGCATCACTTTGAACTACAGCATGCTTCCTCGCATTTTCCACAACAGAGGTAATTAAGATTTGCAGTGAGGTCATGTAGAAGCACCCAGACTGAACGACTCACATTTCCTCTCCAGCTGAAAGCACATTTAGCATTTAAGAACTCGCTAAGATGACTTTTATTAGTCCTTTGTCTGAAAGCTTCAATTAACAGAGGAATAATATCTGCAAATGTCAGACAAAACATCTGAACACAGTGTGAGAAAACCGCAGAGACTATCAGACAGATATCCCACTAATTGCTTAATGAGCAATCCAGCTAATTAGCCATGTAAGGAACACAGCGTCTCAGTGTCTCATTAGCAAAGACGCCAAGTCGTATTGCAGATCTACGGGTGGGTCAGGAGCTAGAAATGACTTAGTCTGTGATGTGCTGCCATGTTAATTGCACGTCATCTTAAAGTAAAGTAAAGACAGCTTTGTTGGTGCCAAGAGCCTGAAATGAATTTATTTGTGATCAGTTTGTGTGTTTGGTGGATTAGGAGGTGTGAAACTCTGCAGTTAATCAGACGGGGATGTGATAATTAATCCTGGCTGTGATCATGCCATATAAATGCACAGCTTGCTTATTTGAATTAACCAACGACCCAACCTGCAATTTAACGTCACAGACTGTTTAAAAAAAATTAATGAAGTCACCCTATTAGATTCTGAAAAGGCGTATTGAAGCCCGATGATGGCTGTTCACATATTGGAAACACTCTCTCAACCTAACTTTCCATAAGTCTACAAAACCGGCAAAGAGATGGAGCCGTGATGTTATGATGCCTTCATGTGGTGTCGGACACATTGGAAAAATGAGTTTCCATGTTGAAAAATGCTGGTGAACGCCGAAGTCGGAACAACAACTCGAAAACTCTGAAAGAATTCGGTGCCGACTTGACGTCATGTTCGTCATCAACATGGCTTTTTTAGTCTTTCACATAATGCACGTCAACTTTATGCTCAAATATAATTTGTCGTATGGCATTATCACATCATCATCATAGCATCCACATTGTTTGGAATGAAAGCATGTGAACACACTGAAGTCGGAAGAACGACGGCCCAACTCTGAAACTGGGACCATCCGAGGAGCACCTGAATGCAGCATTGAGCCTCATCACACCCACCTGTCAGTCTTGACCACACCCCCTACTTATGCAATCAATGCATAACTCACAGAATAAATATTCATATGGATGAGTTGTAAACAAATTCTCCCCTCATGCAATTTTTACCAAAAGAGATTTAGATGGAATCCATTTTTTAGACCAGGCTGTGTGTTTATTATTGGTGTAAAATGTGCATTTTAATATGACACCTGATGGGGATTCTTTGGCTTTTGGATCCAGCCTCAAGTGGACACTTAAAGAACTTCAGCTTTTCACACTTCCACATTGGCTTCATTTTTTCAGCACTGCAGCTCGCTGCTGCTTGTGTAATAAGAAATCATCGTTTTAAAGCCGGCATGGCGATAGAGCAGATCTCTGGGTATTTCTCAAAAAGACACAATTATCTGCCCTGAATGAGTGAGGGACTCTCCTAGGACCTGGCAAATATAATAACAACAATAACATGGCCTGATACTTCCCTTAATCGGAGAAAATAAGGAGAGATGGAATCTTGGCGGTGGAAATAAATTGCACAGAGGAGGTCTCTAGGGTGAGTGGAGAAAAACACACTGTTTGTAAGGATAGTAAATGTCAACTCGCTGCAGGCTCTGTCAGACCAAAGAGTCACAACCTGGGGAATGAACCGGCAACTTTAGAGAGGTGAGTGGAACAATGGCCGTTCTGCTTTGGTGAACACACATAAATGATGCGCCATTTCATGCCATGAAGCTCGCTGAAAAAAAAAAAAAACGCCCTGAAAAACATCAGTCTGACTTTTATATAAAAAGCTCAAAGGCTGAAGATCTGCTGCTGAGTCTGGTGTCTATGCCAGAAACAGAAGAAAAAGAAAAAAAACAAACGAATGATCTGAATCAAGAGCATGATGGAGACGGAGGGGGGGGAGGTCAGATGATACAATATTATTTCATCCTGATTGAAAGATCAGTGGGATTGTGATCAAAGACTAAACCTGATCACGTTCAGCTCTGCCCGGACGGACTGCCAGACTAAGTTGATTGGAGAGGTTTGATTGAAAATCTGTTGCCATGGAAATTCTATTGAAGCTCGATCTCTTCTTCAGTCCCTAGGTTTGGTCGCTGGATGAAGCGAGAGAGAGAGAGAGGGAGGGAGAGAGAGAGAACCAGGTGACTGCAAAGATCAAAGAACAGAGGAGAGAGAAAAGAAGAGAATTTAAATGAGAGATGAGAGGAGGGGGCTCTGCTTTTCCTTTTTCTTTTTTTTCCCGAAGCACAGCAATTAGCTGCCAGTGATCTCACCTTGTGTGTTTAAAGAGCAGCTCAATAATCAAGTATGAATGGAAACGGATGTTTTGTCTTGAGAAACAATTGATCACAACACAACATTTCATGCATCTTCGTCTGCAGCCACAGGAGAACGTCGCTTCTTGTAGTGTTTGTTTCACGTGCTATCTTATTAATGAAGCTTAATTAAGAAGGATTGGTTAATCCTCTCTCCAGGGATTTGATTAGGGAGAGTAGAGTATGTGTTGTGTAGGTATTCAGGCATTATTTCTCTCTGGTGAGCATGAAGCGTGCACACGAGTGGAGGTGAAGACGCATTGCCTTGAAGGCTTTTCAGGGAGCACTAAGAGCAGTGACTGACTCAAAGTGCGTCGTTAGAAAAGCCCAATGAATCCTGACATTACACTGTATTATATCATCACATTTCTATGCTAATCTGGGAAGTGGAAGGCAAGTGGTTGGCAGAGAGGAGAAGGGTAGATTAAATAAGGCAAGGACAAGGAGTGAGCACGCTCCCCCTCCCCCCCAATTTCACACAATGTTTTTCAGGCTAGTTATCAACATGCCAGCGCACATAATGGGAATGCAAACATGCCGGTGTTTGACAGGTTGTATAGCATCTTAATGGTAACGTTCTAGCATCCGCAGATTTCCTAAAAAGCACTAAAAACAAAGTAAAGCGGAGGCTGGAGGGGATTTTATTAATTTCTAACACTTTTGATTTTACGCTAAAGGTTTAGAACAAATTGATATTAATGACGTTGCTAGATTTAAAAAAAAAAACTGGAACAAAAGAGTAAGAAGAATAACGAAATGTAGGAATGGATAGAGCTTCACTATAAACAAACACTGAAGGTATTTTTTTGGCAGCACCAAACATTTTCTACATTCTCGCTCTTCTGACTAGCACATTCTTACACGCTCGCACTCTCTCCCTGTACATCTGAAGCAGCAGGTCAGAGTTGGATTCCCTGCCTAACATCAGCGTGTTCGTTGCCAACCTTTGATTACATCTCCACATTGGAAATCTTTCACTTCCACATTTCTCCTGGAATACGAGCAGCGCCTGCAGCAATGAGCTTCCCTTACAAATAGACGTCGACAGCGAGGAAACACGGGGAAACGTGAGGAAAAGAGTATTTTCAGTTTTCGACCAGGAGAGAATGGCATTAACAGGAATAGAAAGTTGTGGGTGCTGAGTTACTTTTAGGCCCCTGCACTGGGTTGCACCTGCTCAGCGTGGGTTCAAACGTTTTGAACGTCATTCCTAATTTAGGACGCGGTTTACGCTCTGCTGATATTTAAGGTGTTGCACCAGCTGAGATAAAGCTCCAACATAGGTGTAACAAGGTCAAATATAACCTGAATATTTCACTGTTTTTAATATAATTACACAAAATATTTGTCTCAGAGGACTCTGGGACTCAGGATGTACTCGTGTTAAAATCTGCTTCTTCTTTGGTTATTTGTTTATATTTGTGTTGCCCTCTTCCCCTTTGGTACAACGCCTGTGGGAGTGGTAGGTGTGTGCTAGCTGTTAGTGTATCTATATTGTCTAAATCACAGGTTCCCAAAGATGGGGGTTGGAACCCCCTGGGGGGGTCGCAAGTCACTGTGAGGGGGGTCGTGAGATGCCTTCCAAAAAGAAATACAAATTTGAAATGACTGAAAATTTGCATATTTTACCCATTGTTGTGAAATAGTCCTCAAGTGAGATTTGTGCTGAAATGAAAG